ACTTGCCTAATTTTTTCGTTCTTCTCTTTGGAATTGATTATCCCTCCTTAGCATATGAAGATGAAAATGCATTTGTCATGGATTATTCATTAAGTTATCATCTGTTTCTCGTATGCAGAGTTTAGTTGGGAAGATGTGAAAGCCGATAAACATCGAGAAAACTATTTAGGTCACAGTCTCAAAGCACCCGTTGGAAGATGGCAGAAAGGTAAAAATCTCTCTCAATGCGTGTGTATATATTTGGCTCGTACTGGAATTTCAATAGTTAAGCTTGTGATTTTGTTCTCTTTTTACTGTCTTTCCTAGTCATCAACTAATCGTCACTCAATCCATCACTGGCTAGAATGAACCGACTACGAGTTTCCTTATTTCTGAGTTTCTGCTTTTTCCATGGAATGCACGACAGAAGTAATTCTTGGCCTTTGCAAATACTTCTATAGTTGCAGCTCTCACTTCTTCTCTCCTCTTTCTGTACTCACAAGAACAAAAATAAAACTATGCATGCTTGTATCCTTTTTAGAAGATTATGATGAGTTGTGAGTTGGCACTAGCCATTTCTATTTTATATGGGTAGAAATATAAAGTGAACTTCCCTTTATATTCATTAACAAATTGAGCTGTAAAGCTGAAGACTTTGTATAAAGATACATGTATGTATGTTAGATAGCTACCTTTGTGCAGCTCAATTCAAATAATCTTGCACAAGTGATGTTTCTTAAATGACTAGTTGGTGAGTTATTTTTTGGATACTACTTTAGCTATGGTATGGCGAATTTTCATCAACTCGACAATGTCTTTTTTTCTGTGAAACTGTCTAAACTTTTCAGCCATGGGTGATGTGGTTGAGAAAACTAGTTTTTGTGTTGTGCATATGATCTTGTTGATCGTCTTTCAACTGGTTCTTTATTGTCCTTGTGAACGTGCAAGTACTTGGTTTCGTACGATGGTTTTCTATAAGAATCGTAATTTATGTATGTTCCAATAAGATATGAAAAGTATCCATAGGTAGGACATCAGACCAACATCATCTCGTCAACGAAATACCTTCTAGTAACTGGAACGTCATCATTGTTAAACCCTAGGATTCTTGTAAGGATCAGGATGTTTTCCCTAGGAATTTTTTACTTGGCCACTGCTTCTTTAGATACTATATTTTTCGCTAGTACCATGTTGACGATCAAGTATGTGCCTTCCCATACAGTTGACCTTGTTACTGAAGTCGTAACCTCTAATCTTTTTCTTCCACCTTAGGAGCTGCCAAAGTTTGCGGAAGAATCAAAATTTCTCCTTTTGGCAGCAACTAATGAATTTCTACTCCTCTTGGTCAAGAGATTCGTGGACATGTCCAACACACTTATGATAAATGAAGTCTCACCTTGGATGTGTACTGGATTCTTAACATGTCTGTGTTAACTAGATTATTTGAAATGAAGTTCTTTAGTTTTAACTTCTAATAATGAACTTGATGATGAGGACGTGAATGAGAATCAGACCCCTCTTGGGACAATTAAAAGGGCAGATTGTATAGAGTCCTGTCAGCATTTCCTACAACTCCAGAATGTATCAAATCCTTCCCTTCTATCCTTATTTGATCCTCCAGGTGGTTAAGTTCACATTATTGTTGCATGTCTGGCCTGTTAGACATGATTTTGAGTAGTTTTTTACCCAAAACAAGTATTGGGTTATAAGGAATATAGGATTCCTAGATCTGTATCAACTCAGTCTTTCCTCCGTTTGTAAAGCATATTGTTCAGTATTGGAAAGAAGAGGAATAATAATCATCTTGCCACTTATGGCAGCTCAGTCCTGACAAGTAACCATTTTTGAGTTGCTCATCAGTCTCATGGACGCCAGCTTGAATTGATAAGTTACAGGATTTGTAGAATAAT